GATGTTCTAGCGGTAGATTCATTAGACGATGCTAAAAAAAAAAAATAAAAAAAAAATAAATAAAAAAAAAATAAAAAATAAAAAAAATAAATCAATCAATCAATCAATCGATCAATCAATGAATAAAGATCTTCATTGCTTGATTGCTTGATAGATTGATTGATTGACCAATCAATCAGTCACTCAATAAATCAATCAATCAATCAATCAATCAAATCAATCACCAAATCAATCAATCACACACACACAATCAATCAATCAATCAATCAATCAATCAATTAATCAAATCAATCACCAAATCAATCAATCACACACACACACACAATCAATCAATCAATCAATCAATCAACCGATCAAGATCTTGATTGATTGATTGAAATATAGAATTCGTGAAAACCTAACAAAAACAATTGGTTGGTTTGCACCAAAATTTTTAAAGATTCTGATAGTACATTTTCCAGGCCTCCTACATGAACAACATTCTATGTGAAGTAAATTAACCGTAAAAATTGAATAGAAAAGTACTTTTTCAAAACCACTAGAAGTGGTGAGGAGATAAGCAAGTCTTTTTACAAAAAAGTCACTAGCTTGCAAAGCACCGTTTGTTGAAGAATCGAAATATCCTTATTTTTTGTTTATTTAAAAAAATTAAATTTATAGCTCTATAAGATATGAAGCACGAAGAACCAGCTTGGGGGGTTCCCAAACACGCACATATCTTCTCCTATTCACGAATACATTCTCTTGGATATGTTGCTTCATACATGGACGAATATTTTTTTTTTTTTTGTATTTTTTATTGAAATATTTTTCTATTTTTTTATTTTAAATCGTGGTTGGCTAAGGATTTGAAGAAGTCCCCGAGGCAAAAGTTGTTTGAATTTGTTTTTAACATAACATATATTTTTTGACAAGGATTTAACAGTAAACTTAAAAATGGATTATATTAATTTATAGTTCTATAAACTAGTTTTCGCAGAACTTGGTTTTTACCAAACTGCTGAAAACGACTTATAGTTCTATAAATGAGTATTCACTGAAACTATTTTTTTTAATGACTTTCGAGTTCGCCTTGCAGTCCTTAGAAATTGTTTTGTTTGAGCTATGCTTTCTTTCAATTTACTGAAAACGACTTATAGTCTTATAATATGTTTTTTTATTTGAAAACATTTTCTTGCACATTTTGAGAATCCCTAGACTTTTTGCCAATTTTTCTGCCTCCTTTCTCGGGAAACAGTTAAAAACGCTCTCTTTTATGTGTCAAAAATAACAGTATGACTTTTACTTTTTCATTCTATTAAAAATGTTAGGTTTTGTGGTTTTGTTAGGTTTTCACGAATTCAATCTTTTGATCGATTGATTGATTGATTGATTGACTGCAAACAGTCATTCAATCGATCAATCAATCAATCAATCAATCAAAATCCTGATTGCTTGCTTGCTTGCGTGCTTGATTGATTGATTGATTAATTGATTGATTGAGTGTTTGATGATTGATTCATTGATTCATTACTTTTTTTTTTTTTTTTCCTCTCTCTCTCTCTCTCTC